TCGTGCTATTTCATCTTTGCTTCACCACACATTTTAAATTGAATAATCTTACGAATTTAATATTTAAACATATTTTACTTTCTCTAATTCTAATTAGTTTCAATGAAACTTTTATATATCTATATTTTATTTTCCAATGCAACCTAAATAGATGTGAAAGATTTAAGGAATAAGTAATATGTAGGATTGTTTCATTACTAGGCCGACCCATCTTATTGATGTAGTTTGATTTGAAGTTAATTAGACTGAGTTTAGATATGAAAATTAAACTCAATAATATTTGGATCAGATCACGTTTTGGGGATGGATTAACCTGACTTAATAGGAGATAATATTTTAAAACTTTTATGTCTTTTAAAAAGTAAAGATAAATTAGAAAAATTTTATTTAAATTAATATATGAGGAAAGTTATATTTGTAATCTATTTTCGCTTACAACTTCTTACAACCAAATCTTTAATCGTTGATTTCCATCAACAGTTATAATTTATTGGGTTATATTTTTTTTGGGTTTTAGTTTGTCCTTTAACATGACACGAAAAACTTTGCTACCCACACAATATTTTGTGGGGTCCACACTTTTAAAAGCAAAAAAAAAAAAAAAAACTAAAGTACGCAAAACTAATCTCTATAACATTACACAATCACTTTTCCTACAATATAACTCTTATAAAATCCATTTTTTTGGGTAGAAATTGGGTCATATTTATTAGTTCTCAATAAATTATAACCATCAGATTCATAAAAATCAACAATTAATATTTAGTTGTATAAGTTGTAAACGAAAAGAAGTTGTAAATATAACCTTTATCTTAATCTATTATGCATAAAATATTTTTTTGTTTATACTATTAATTTTGAAATATAACATCCTCTAATTTTTAATTTCTTATTTTTAAAATTTAGTTATATATAATATTTAAATTTATTAATTTTAAATATCAAGTCCATCTATTCTTTAACACAATCTTAACTACGCAATGATTAAGTAAGATCTAAAACTAAAAACTTTGATCCAATTAAATATATGGCTATATTTGTGCCAAGTAAAATCTAAAAAAGTAATTTAAATTTAAAAATAAATTGCTCAATTAATATAAATTTTGATATTATTTTTCAAAATAATACAAATAATTATATACGGCAAAAATATGCACCTGTCATGACCTTATGAGTTGCGACTTAGAGTTGGCAAAATGACTCAACCTGCTTCGCCCTGCCAAGAAGAGTGGGGCGGGCTAACCCTCTTTTGGTGAATGATTAAAAATATCAACTCATCTTGTTTTGAGTCGAGTTTGAGGGTTAGCCTTAGAGGTGGCAATTAAGGTTGAACCCGACGGGTCATTCCACCAACCCTCCAAAACGGGGCGGGTTAGGTTATACTTTTCAACCCACCAACCCACCTCAATCCGCCCCACTTAGTTGTGGGTCAAAACGGGTTGGCGGTGGGTCGGGGGGTTGGCCCGCGGGTCAATTTTTTTTTCTTTTTTTACTAATAGTTAGTATTTTAATTGTTACTAAGCTTTTGTGATATGAAATTTTTTTTATCTTAGTACTCCTCTAGAAAAAATAAAGAAGAAAAACTTTATTTATTACAAAAGTTATCCATATATTGAGGCAAAGATAAGTTCCTAAAAAATATTTGACTGAATATTAGTATACATCTTGGTTTGAGATTGCAAAAATACTAAAGGAAGTGTGAAATGAAAATAAGAAATATTATAAAATTAATAATTTTTAATTTATTTTTAATTTTTAATTATTATTTTTTTTGGCGAGTTGACTCGCCAACCACCACAAAACCGGATGATTGAGATTTTCAACCCATATCAAAATGCGGGACGGGCGGGCTAACTTGTTTTTGGCGGGGTGGGGCGGACCGACCCATTTTGCCACCTCTAGTTAGCACTCCTAAAAAAAATAAAATAATTTTTTTTTATTTTGTAACGTGTCTTTTAATTTTAAAAAATATAAAGAAGTTATATTATGATCAATACGTTATTAATTTTTTGTGGGATTAAATTAGAAGTTTGTATTTGTATGTGAAATTTTACAATTGTTATTATTACATAATTACTTTAATGATAATATTTTGCATAAGCATACTTATTTTTTTGTTTTGTTTAGTTCAACATTAAGTTATAATGATAGTGAACCGACAAAAACAGTCATATGTGTTGCAATTTCGTAATAAAATTATAACATTTTTAAATATAAGTCAAATAAATTATGGGAAAAGTGTGTGTTATTTTAAAGAATGTAAAATTATGTTATTTTAAGAGAGAGAAAGAGATAGATAAAAGAGGAGAGAGAGTTGACAAAAAAATAAAGGTGTGAGTCTCACCTCTTTGTGAGAGTGAAATGATATAAATTGTGTCATTTAAAAAGATAAACACTATTCCCATAAATTATATATAATATAAAGGAGAAATGATTTCTGCTTTTTAGGCAAAATATATTTCTCTGCCATTAAGAGAAAAAAAAGGAATGAAGTCCATTATTTTATGGGTTTCTCTCTTTCGTTTTCTCTGCAAAGAAATGTTTTTTTACCTCAAAGGCAGAAATTATTTTCTCTAATATAAGGGACACTAAATTATGAATATGTTGGCGAAGAAATGATATGATATGTATAAAGATAACAAGTGAAATTGATAAAAAAAAAATAAAAAAACAATATTGACCCGCAAGTTCACCCACCCATCCACTTTTTTGACACTTGCATGCGGGGCGAATTGTGTTGAATGTTAAAATATATAACACTCTTCGCCTCTGTTTTGATCGGCCGACTCATCTAATTCAATTCATTTTGCCAACTTTAAATTGTCCATGGAGAGTGTGCACAATTCATCTAGTTGATATTTATGTATAATTAATTGTATTATTTTAAAAAATAATTTTAAATCTGTTTTAATTGAATAATTTATTTTAAAATTTGTATTAATAATAGCTTTTCGCCGTTAAATCTAGCTATGAATGTTAAAAAAAAAATCTATGAATAACCTCTAAATGTGTACTCAATATTTTATTAATTTTTTTTTTTTATATTTCCATTCAAATTTTCCGTCATTGAAAGAGAAAGAACCTTGAAATTTGAAGACATTGATAATGAATTCATTTATTTTGAAAGCCGTGACAAAATGGCATCGTTTCTACCTTGAAAAACCGAAACACTTTGTACTAAAAAAAAAACGAAACACCCCGCACATGTCCCTATCTTCTCTGTCTAAACTCTAAAGCTACTTTGCTGTTCAGAAAACAAAACCAAATTTGAGAACATCAATTCAATTCAATGCTCCACCATATCGTTCCACGTTCTATTTCTTTCTTCAATCAAAACCTACCTTTCTCTTCCCAAAGTAAGCAAATCCAAATTATTTTCTTTCAAAAACACAAAGGCAATGATTTGGGTGGGGATTTGGTATGGAACAAGTGGAGTGGCGAATATTTATTTACCATGTTTGGTATGAGTATTGTGAACAAAATGTCAGTAAATTTTTTTCCCTGGTATTTTCTTTTTTAACTACACAAAAGGCAAAATATTATTCCACTTAATCTTTGGTATTTTTTTTTGCCATGGTCTTGGATTTTGAATGTAATATATTGAGTCAAAAATACCCTTGTAATATATGACATCATGTGTATAGAGATTGTCCATGCTCTTTGATATTTTGGTAATTTCAATTCACATTCCTATCAATATTTTACTATCAACCAAACATAGCATCAGTAAAATAACCCAACTTTTCCAGTAAAATTTTAGCCAAGCAAACACTTTTTCATAACTTACCCGAAATAAAAAATTTCCTACCAAATTCTCAACAATCTTTTTTTAGATTTTTTAGAGGTAAAAAAAAATATCTCTCATCCCCTTGCAATTCCAACTTCCATTATTTTCACACTCTTACATATATAGTCATATATATTTTCTTCCTTTTATGAGCATAATTCAAAAAATTTCCAAATTGTACAAGTTATTATTGGTTTCTTTAGATCCGTATTCAGTGGTTAGGGGTCACATTACGTCCTTACCCCACCACAAAAGAATTATAGCTTCTCATATTATTTGTTTTTCTCCATTTGGGGGGATATATTCACCTCCTCTTTCTCGTCGACAAGTTACAAATTTTCTCAAATTCCCATTTCACTTTCTTTTTAACTCTGTTTACTAGAAAAAAGAAAGGAAACTTAGTGTCTGTTTGGATCCTCTTATTTTTATGCTAGAAACTACTTATAAGCATAAGCTAGGCCAAACAGATTCTGAGAAAAGCTCTTATAACAAAAAGCTCTTTTTTTTATAATGAAGAAAAAAGTTGAAAACTAAAAGCTCCTAGGAGGAGCTTTTTTTTAAGCTCTTATCTGTTTTTCTTGAATTGTGTGCTTTTTTTTAAAATGAAGAGTGATAAAGATAGAGAGAAAGATAATTTTCTTGAAATATGTGCTTTTAAGTAATTTTTAAACTAAAACTTTTACGTAATTTTCAAACAGCTTTTAACTTATTTTTTTAAGCTCTTTTTTTTAGCTTTAGCTTATAAGTAGCTTCTAGCTTAAAAATAAGAGGATCCAAACACCCTCTTAACTTGTTTCTTTTTCTTCCAATTTCATCACACCCAAATAACATAGCTAATAAGGTTCGGTCCAAATTTGTAGATTTTTGTTAGTGGATAAAGCTTTTGGCGGTTCTCACTGTTAACAAATTTGTAGTTTTTTTTTACAAATAGTGTTAAAATCAGATTAAAATCTTAATTGAAACCCTTATATTATTGATCTTAGATTTTTATTTGATTACGTATCCTACTTTCTTTTGGCCGACTTATTAATCTCATTCATCGTGGGGTGTAAAAGTGTTCTAAATTTTCGCTCCTTCCTCGAGTCCCACTTTCTGAAAACTGTACCTTTCTCTTGCCGACGTTGCTCCACCTCTTTCTATATACAAAAAGAAGCGAAGGGTTTCAATTTCAAGAACAAGTAAACACATTCTTGGTTCCTATCACTTGGCTTAGTAACTTTTTGTTATTATTTTGTGGGGAGAATGGGAAAAAAGTGTTTTTTGAGATGGGTTTTGGTGATTGGGGTGATGGGTTGGAACAGTGTGGAAGGGCTTGGAGTGAATTGGGGAACACAAGCTACACACGAGTTGAAGGCAGATACGGTGGTGCAGATGTTGAAGGACAATGGGATTCAAAAGGTGAAGCTGTTTGATGCAGATGTCTCCACAATGAGTGCTCTTGCTGGGTCTGGGATTGAAGTCATGGTTGCTATTCCTAATAACCAGCTTGCTCAAATGAATGACTATGATCGTGCCATGCAATGGGTTCGCAAGAATGTTACTAGTTACAACTTTCAGGGTGGAGTTAACATCAAGTGAGTTTACTTTTACAATTTTTTTTTTTTTATTAATTAACATGGACTAACACTTAACATCGTTACTTGTGATTGTGATGGTAGAGTATAAGTTGATCTAGGTATGTAATTTCATGTGATTTTATCTTAGTTATATGGCCTATATTATTTTACTAAATGTTTTTCCTTATGAAATATCTTTGAGGTCTCGCAAACAAATATCATTGACTAGAGCAGATAGGGGATTTTTTTTATTTATTTTTTATTTTTTTACTTGGAGAGGAAAGGTCTTTGTTATGACGGGATGGCAAATAGGCAATCCCATATGCAGAATCAATATAATAAATAATGAAAACAAAAGGACATATGCTCTGTTTTTTTAGTTGATATGCTCTGCTTTTTTGATTAAGGGATAGGCAATAGTGTGGGTAGACTTACAAAAGTGAACTCAAGTTGCACCTTTTTCTCAACTTTATAATCTTTAGATTCTCTTTCTTTTTTTCTTTTATGCTTTTTTGGGTTCTTTTCTCCTTTTAGTCCTTGCATTAGTTCTTGCAATTTTACCTTAATGGGCCAGTTCAACTAATTAGATCTGCCCCAATTATTCTAAGCCTATAAAACCGTTTAAAACCGGATTGAGTCGGAATCGTTGAAACTTGAACCGGTGCTCAATAATGGAAATGGCTTTCAGAATCGCTGTTTTATTTTTTTACCTGAAGTAAATATTCAATTTAGGCCTTAAGAGATAATGTGTCGATCATTTTATTCTCTGAAAGATGAAATTTACCGTTTGGATCTCTCAAATATACATTCATTCGGTCAAATTAGTTCCTGACGTAATTAATTTATGGACTTTTTTTTTGTTGAGTAATTTTTGGACTAATTTGACCATGAAATACATTTTCAGATAATTTCAAATTTCAAGAATTAATACTATGGACGCTATATCTTTTATGACTAATTTGATTATTCACTTTTCCTTCTTCCTTACAAATTTAAATCTAAATCTTTGAGTCTTGAAAGAATGTTGAAAGGCATTTACAAAGATTCACGGAGCAAGAGAAGGAGAATTATAGCTTTTTTATATCTTGCAAACTTAGACGAACTATGCCCTTTTGATGGACAATTTATGCAGGGGCATTCTATTTGTTTTGTTTAGTATTCAATCTGATTTATTAGTTTGAGGTATTGTTGAACTCATATTGGGACGGTTTTTTCAATATTATTTTCTCTATTTCTGAATCCCCAAGGGCTCGGCTATTCTTATTTTGGTTTTGAATTTTCTCTATTTCCATCATTTCCCATCATTTCCCATAGTTACGACTCTCAAAAATAGAATCTATTACCTTTAGGCAGGACAAATCCTAGAACCTAACTTGGACAATAGTAGACCAACAACTTTTGAGTGGGTTTTTGAGTTATCTAATTATGTAAGGATTTGGGTTAGATAATTTTTTTTTTTTTTTTTTTGGTACATTGCAAGGAGGTATCCCCATTCAACCTTCTCTGTGCACCATGCCCTCGGGGTACGGCCCGTTTGGGCTAGCCCCTCATTGTAACAGTGAGTGCACTAAGCTTCGCAACCGGAGAAAGGACGAGACTAATTCCCCAACCAAAGATTTTTTGGCTTATCCTCTGGCCCCCAAAGATTTTCCAAGAAACTGCTTGAGGCAGGGTTTGATCCCTGCACCAAGCAATCCCTTGGGAGCTCAGCTGCCAACTGAGCTACCCTTGAGGGTTTGGGCAAGATAATTTAATTTTGTGCAGCGCATGTTTTGAAAAATTAAAGAATTATCGTAAGCTTTATGTTGTGGGTAGACAGCCCGAAGATGAAAATGCTGGCTTTCAATAAATTTTTATTCTAAAACATAAGAAAATTAAAAAAAATTAATTATAACTAAATCATGTATCTGTTTAAAATTAAAATATTGCTTGAAAATTGAAAATATACATTTGATATCAAAGTATACATATTTCATTGTAAATATATTTATGACATTATTCTATTCAATCACCAATTTAACCAAAAAGAACTAATTGAATCGGGTTGGTCCGAGGATTATTAGCCACCCCAATTAGGATTTTGAATAATTGAAAGAAGCCTGGTACTTAGAAAATTTATTAGATATTATATAATGACCAGGATTTTTCATAGTTTCTTGGGACTTTTTTGAACATTTGGTAAAGCTGCTTATAATTAAGCTTTATATGATTGAGAACTAAAAATTTCTATTTTTAATGTATGCTGCTTTCTTCTATAGCTAAACTCAGTTTTTGGTTCAGTTTTAAAGGAAACTTTTTTAATGAGGCATTGATTTAACAATGAATTATTAAGCATCAAGATTTTTGGTTTATATTTTAGGTTCCATGAGAAAAAGATTTGAAGTATTTCTTTCTCAAATACCTATTAATGCATTCCATCTTTACTCTTTTACAGGTATGTAGCAGTAGGGAACGAACCATTTTTGAAAACCTATAATAATTCATTCTTGAATGTCACCTTGCCTGCACTGCAGAACATTCAAAATGCCCTTAATGAGGTTGGTGTAGGAGACACGGTTAAGGCCACAGTGCCCTTAAATGCTGATGTATATGAGTCTCCTGAGAATAATCCTGTTCCATCTGCAGGAACATTTAGGCCTGATATAAGTGATCTCATGACCCAAATAGTACAATTTTTGAGCAAGAATGGTGCACCATTCACTGTGAACATTTACCCCTTCTTAAGTCTTTATGGGAATGATAATTTTCCTATGGACTATGCTTTCTTTGATGGGGTAGCCAATCCCATAAATGATAATGGGGTTTCATACACCAATGTTTTTGATGCAAATTTTGATACATTGGTTTCTGCTCTTAAAGTTGTGGGATATGGGGACATGCCCATTTTGGTAGGTGAAGTTGGATGGCCTACAGATGGTGACAAGAATGCCAATTCAGGCAATGCATTAAGGTTCTATAATGGGCTTCTACCAAGGCTTGCAGCAAATAAAGGCACCCCAAGAAGACCAGGATTTATTGAAGTTTACCTATTTGGACTTATTGATGAGGATGCTAAGAGCATTGCTCCAGGGAATTTTGAACGTCATTGGGGAATATTTAGGTATGATGGGCAACCCAAGTTTCCAATGCATCTTTCTAGTCAAGGTCAAAATAAGTTACTAGTTGGTGCAAGAAATGTGCATTATCTTGATTCAAAGTGGTGCATGTTTAATCCAAATGCAAATAATCTAAGCAATCTTGCAGATAATATAAACTATGCTTGCACATTTGGAGATTGCACTGCACTTGGATATGGATCTTCTTGTAACAATCTCGATGCTAATGGGAATGCCTCATATGCATTTAATATGTATTACCAGGCGCAAAATCAGAATGACATGGCATGCAATTTTGAAGGTTTAGCCCAACTTACAACAAACAATATTTCAACACCTACTTGCAATTTTATTATTCAGATAAATCCTTCATCGTCCTCTTCTTTGAGGGTCTCACTAGTAGCTTTCTTATTTATTACACTACCCATTATTCTATTTTTGTAGGTCATTGTATATACATTGTCGGTGCTATTATTTATTTGTATAATTTCATCACTTGTACTTGGAGACAGTCCGGAAGATATTTGGTTTACAGATCAATTAATAAAGAATATTACAACTCAGATGGCAAAATGTATTTTTCCTAAGGGCCAAAGTTGCTCTTTTATGCATTTGACTTCTGATGCTTAGATCTAATTTTCAGTCCTCATATTTATTGGGATTCCCATCCTATTATATAAGGATGACTCATGTGGAAGATAGTCTATTTGACTCGAAAATACTTAATACACTAATTTTGATACTAAACCACTCAAAATAAATTAATATATAGTACTAAAGTAATCCTTGTGAGAGAGTCAGTTTGTGTTGGTTGGAACTTGGAAGTTGGAAGCAACTTTTCCAAATGTCAATTTGTTGGAAAGAAACAAGAAAAAATACCAGCTTTTTATATGGTTGGTCCATTGCGAATTTCATGCAATCATGGTTGTGCTATTTGGAAATTTAATGCAATTGATCAACAATTGAGAAGGTTTTGAAGACATAGGAAATGAATGAAGGTTTGAAATTCAGTGTCCAGACTCTAGAGTAGAGTAACCAATATCTAAGTAGTCAAAATCGGAATTTTACCTAAAATCGAAAAGAGAATAAAAAATCGTAAATCGTAAAATCGTACTACAAATCGTAGATTTTACCTGCACTCTAAAATTAAATTTTTATATACATATGCTTATGTATAAAAAAATTTAAGAAAATTAGACTACTTGCCACCATCCTTATACATTTGCATACAATTGTCACACTCTGAGGGTCTAAGCTAATAAATCATTGAAGTTATTATCATCAAAGACATTATGTTCCACGTGATCTTCAACTACATCATTCAAAATTGTCTTCATCTAAACTTTCATCATGAGATGAAGTTCCTTCATTTTTCACAATCCATTCATCTTCGGATGAAACATCAACAATGTTATATTCAACAATTTTTCTAACTTGCTTAACATCATTCCAATAGTTAAAATCGGGATTTAAATCTTAAAATCGGGACTTAAGTAAATGTCTAAATGAGAATTTTATATTGGAAACGATTTTAAGTGAAATCTAAATCATTTTAGCAAAAATAAATCGTTAAAATCGGGATTTTAAGATTTAAATCCAGATTTTAACTACCATGAATACCCACAATTATTTTTCTTAAATGCCTCATTTTTACATCGGATTTGTTTATAGATTTGTAGTTACTCGTATTAACAATTTTCTATCGAGCAATATGATGAAACCAAAATAAAATGATGAAATTGATTGAAATAAATAATGGAAATTGAGCTTCTTACACTGCCACAAATTCAGAAAACAGACCAGACAGATAGGAAATCAAAATAAAAGATAAAAAAAAAAACTCATGAAAGAATCCTAAGGTAGTGTTTGGTTGGGGAGAAATTTTTTGAATACTAGGGAAATGTAATTTATAGGGATCTGTAGGGAAAGTGAGATATATAGGAAAGTTTAAAAAATGTTGTTTGGTTGGACAAAATTTTACTGGAAAAATTGAGTAAAATTTCTGAATGTGTGTTTGGTTGAGGATAAAATATTGATGGGTAAATTTAGTAAAATTACAAAATAACCCTTTATAAATAACCCTTTTACTGACGTGTGGTTAAGATTGGAGGGGTAAACTTGTCATGCATTTCCCACCATTTTTCAGTTATCTGCTTTCTATGGACAAAATCACCTTCACAAAAGGCTTTCAAAACACTCTTCAAATCCAGATTTCATTTGTTATCATGGATTGCTAGACAAACATCATTGATGGGCAAGAGACACCAAATCTATTTACCAAACGTGAAGAAGGAAGAAACCCGTTCTCACTTTGCTAGAAAAATAATGAAAAGCTTCGAACCAAACACTACCTGAGACTTGGCCTTTCAGAGTCTCAATTCACTACTCTCAATATGCTTAAGAAATCACACCCAAAACACTACCTACATATAATAAACTACCTCCTAATCAATACTCCTAAGTCCTATCTCTATCCTCTAACTAACTTATTCCTTCCATTACTAATTACTGTATGCATTGCTAGACATGATGAGCCCACCTATCACAGCCTGATCCTTCTTCCTTCTTCCTTCTTCTGTCATATACAAATTTTGGAGACTCATCATGACATCATCCATTACTTGAAGCATATTGGCAAGGATATGCACGAAGTTGAAGATCTACCATAAAGTCCCACTGAACCCTTGTAAATTGTTGTACCTGCATTATAACATCCTATAATAATAATAATAATAATAATAATAATAATAATACTAATAACTATAATTAATAGATATTAAAATTTTGAAGATAATATATAAGGTATATAATAAAGAAGATGTAAGAATATAATTATTAATTAATAAAACAAAAAGATAATTATTTTTTAAAGCCATGAAAATATATTAATTAGATATTTTAGTTTTTATAGAAACAATCATAAAGAAAGTATATTATAAAAAAGAAAAAGAAAAAAAAGAGTTATCCAAAGAGAAAAGAAAAGCAGGTTAGTATAGTACAATATTGTATCAAAAAAAAAAAAGAGTATAGTACAATGTCATAAAGTAATAATATAATAATAATAATAGAAAGAAGAAGAAAAAGTAACGAAATAAAAACAGTAGAATCATTGAAACACAACTAACTAGTACAATGTTATAAAGTAATAGTAATATAATAATAATAGGTAAAAATATTTTTGCTTTTTGATACAGAAAAATTATTTTTTTCACACTCATATAAGAATGAGTTCATCTCATTATAAAAAGAAAAGAGAAAAGAGAAAAAATATTAATCAAATCACTTCTTTTTATATAAGTGTGACAAAAATAATTTTTCTCCAAAGAAACATTATCCATAATAATAGTTAAAAAAGAGAGAAAGAAAGACACCGAATGAAAACAATAACACAAATAAAACTCAACTATATAACAAAGTAATGTCACGTAAGTGACAGGTAGAAGTGAAATACAATATTATATTATTACAATAAAATAACGATAGGCATGTCATTTACACATTTATGATAAGGGTTATGTTTATCTCATTTTACATGAGATAAACATCTCTCCTACACACACAAAAAGGGTTGGGTCCTACCACTTTTTTTTTCTCTCTCTCCTCTTACATGTGGGTCCCACTTATACTTTTATTTCTACAACATGAGGTAATTCTTTTCCTACAACATAAGAAAAATATATCCCTTATGATAAAATAACAAAACAAGGTTAGGCAAAACAAAATAGGGATTGTAGTTTGTCATTTAACATGACATCATCAAATTTTCTACACACACAACATTTTGTGGGATCCGTATTTTTTAAAACAAAAAAAATTAAAAAAGTTAAGGCACGCAAAACGAATCTCTATAACATTACACAATCACTTTTTCTACAACATAACTCTTATAAAACCCAACAAAATAATAGGAAGATCGATAATAAAATAAGGGTTTGATTTTTCTCATGTTGCATTAGATAATTTATCTCATGCAACATATAAAAAAGTGGATAGGACCCACTTTGAAAAAGAGAGAGAAAGGAAAAAAGTGGGTCTCAGCTACTTTTGTGTGTGTTGCATAAGACAAATTATCTCATGTAACAAAAGAAACACATTTCCCATAAAATAAAATAAACCCTCAAAGGCTAAGGATTTAGTAATTTCAATTAAATATTACATGTTCTTAATTATACTTGTTATACATTTATTATCGAAATTAAAAAAATAGAGATATTTTTCGTTGTAGCAACTTGATTAGTTATAGTTTGAAAACCTAAATATTATTGAAATTTATCTGACATTTTTGTATGCTAACTTGTCCAGAAGAGAATAATGTCGAACATCTACATAACCGGTGACAGTTGGGAATGATGGTTTCAACAAATGAAGAAAAAATTGAGTTTTGTGTATTGGTGGGAGTTCGATGAAGATAACTGAAGAATAAATTTTTCGTTCAATATGGACGACTAATAGGGCTAAACTCATGTTCTACTTATTATAATAAATAAACAAGAGGATAAATTAAGCTCAGTTATTTAAATAGTTAGTGTACCACTACCCTAATGTAATGTAATCTAAATCTACTGAAGAATGTACTCTACCTTATCTCTAATGAATAATTACCCTTAAGAGTTACTATATTAATTTTTCTTTTGTTTTGTTATATACTAATGATGAATGATGTGGTTAACTTTTTATATATATACTATTAGTACAAGAGAATGTTACATTTTATGATATCAGAGTGGTGACTGAAGCTCTTAGAGAACAAATTGTAACAAATTATTTAGAAAGTAAGGGATGACCGAACAACCAGAAACCACACTCATAATTCTGAAAGTGAGAATGAACACAGATCTACAAATGCTCATGGAGGATCAAATCTTGATTGTAAAGGACTAATTGAAATCCGTAAACATAAACCTCCCACTTTTCATGAACATTATAACCTTGAAGCAGTTATTTTGAGAAAATATTTCATGTTATGGACTGTCCTGATATTTACTGTGTTAATATTGCCACATATATATTGATAGGAGAATTAGATCATTGGTGGACAAGTACAAAAGGACATTTTCAAAGTCAAGGAAAAGAAATTACTTGGAAGACATTTAAAGATTTTTTTTTGGAAAAATATTTTCCCTGAAGTATAAGAGATAGAAAAGAAATTGAATTCCTTGAATTAAAACAAAGAAAGATGACAATTGGTGAAAATGTGGTAAAATTTGAGGAAATATCAAGATATACAACTTATGCACAAAATCAATCTAATGAAGAGTGGTTTGCAATTAAATTCGAATATGGATTAAAATCTGAACTCAAAAGTATGATAATAGGACATCAAATAAGAAAATTCTCCTCATTAATAAACATGTGCTGAGACATTGAGTCAATCATGGTGGAAGTTGAGGAGGCAAGGGAGAAATTCAAATGGACAATCAGAAGAAGAACGATGATAAGAACAA